ATATATTTTAGCCTCCAGTGCCCTAATCATCTTTGTTGCTCTTCTCTGAATTTTTTCTAGAATCAACATTTTTCAACATTTTTTGGAAGATGCCCCAGTAGAAGACACCTGTTCCAGAATGCAGTGTGCATTCAGCCAATTATGGCTTCTAACACACACATATTTTAAGGTATGTGTTAATCCAGCCATTTCATGATAACAAACCTAGGTTTATTCCCAGAAAAGAAGTTTCCTTCAGTCACCCACTGTGGCCAGAATCAAAGCCTGACGGAGATACGAAGCTAACATGGTTTTGGCTGAGTCATTACCTCTCAGTCTAGCCTACCTAACCAGATAATATGGGATGTATTCTTCTGAATTTGATGGTATTTTAGTAGCATTTTCTTCCCCATGAGCTATTGCAAACAAGAGTGCAAAATATGGAATTACAATGCTTTATTATGAAACCCCGGAAAAGTTCAGTTCAAGTCTACCAAATCTAGGCTGTAGATACTCAATTAGCCACTAGAGAGCAGCATGGAGATACAGGAAACTCATATTCTTTCTTGCCCTCTAGTGGTCACTTTATTTATTTTACTTATTTATTTTTAAAAATTATAGGGCTGCCCAACTCACAAACTCTGGGCAGCTTACAACTTTTAAAAACCTACCATAGAAACCTCAGCCCATGCCCCAGTGCGGCAACCACGTAAACAAATCAACCACTTGATCAACTTCATTTGTGGTTCCTAGGACTGCTGAAAAAAACACAGTTTTAGGGCCTTTTGGAAAAGCAACAGGTTGGAAGCCAACTATAGCTCAGGGGGAATGATATTCCATAAAGAAGGGACCACCGCTGAAAAGACCCCTATTTGGAGTCCCATCAGTCGATAGGACTGGTAACAAGCCTTCCCATCCTCGTGGGTTGGGTGGATGTAATGGGGGAGAGGCAATCCTTGAAATAATCTGGGCCAAAGCCATGTATAAGGGTGATAAGCAGCACCTTGGATTGGACCCAGAAGAAGACACTTGGGTATCTACCAGCCTAGATCTGATGGGCCTGTCTCAATGGTCACAAGTTCTTCACTTAAAAATGAAGCCATGTAGTAGTTGAGAATAACAGAACCATCCCTTTCGTGAACATTTGAAGTTATCACAGCACTGATTTAAGACCGGTTTTCAAACTTACAGCATCTCTATGGTCACATGATCAAAATTCAGCACATGCTTGGTGACTGACAGGCATTTATGACAGTCGCAGTGACCCCGAGTCATGTAATCACCTCCTCAGCCAGTTTCTGACAAGCAAAGTCAATGGGGGAAGCCCGATTCACTGAATGATTGCATGTTTCACTTAACAACTTGCAGTGATTTCACTGAACAACTGGCAAAAAGGTCATAAAATGGAACACAACAACTGCCTTGGTTAGCAATGGAAATTGGGGTTCAGTTGGGGTCCTGTCATATGAAACTATATTATAAGGAAGTACAGATATTCAGAATTATAACCTGACATTTACTTTTCACAACATTTACTTTTCACTCTCTGTTCAACCAGCCTTTATCACAGCACTGCCAGGGAAATTGGATGACGCTAATCATTGAGTTCAGTTGCACCCAGCAAGTTCTGACTGAGTCTGAATGCAGACTTGAACCCAGTTCTCTCTGGTTGATAAAACTTCACAGTCTCCCCCATTTGGCTTTGAAATCCGGCTGCTCAAAAAACAAAGTCTAGCAAGGCACCAAAATAAGTCAAAAAAAATTCTGATGGAATACCAAAACATATTTAGATTTCTCTATTTACTACTGCTATTTTTTTTTAAAAAAAAAGATTCTTTTCCACCCCTGAATTCCTTCCTAAATCAGTCCTTCAGGACTTTTTTCACTCTTTGTTCTAAATCAGTGGTTCTCAACCTTTTTAATGCTGCGACCCCCAACCGGTCGTAAGTCAAGGATTACTCAACCGGTCGTAAGTCGAGGACTACTCAACTGGTGCAGCACCATTTGCAGAATGGGACTTTTGGCGGGCTCAGCAGGGCAGAGACAGCCTGGACAATTCCTATTGGCTTTTGAAAACCAATAGAATTAGATTCTATTCAAGAGAGTCTATTCTATTGGCTTTCAAAAGCCAATAGAATAAAAGAGAGTAGCACAGCTAAGGAAAAGGGGGAAAAAATGGCAGACTGCGTTGTTTGGCGACCCCCGTGAAATGGTCATTCGACCCCAAATGGGATCCCGATCCACAGGTTGAGAACCACTGTTCTAAATGAATCAATATATCCCTTCATTTTTTAATTCCATGCAGTTTGTTAAAATATACATACATTCCTCTCTCTCCCCCCACCATCAATACTATTTGAGGGAGTATTAGTTATCTGGGTTGAAAAACCCAAAATGTGATTTATTACAGACAAAAATAATTCATGCATGAAGCAAAAGATGCCAAAAAAAATCAAGTTTTGCAAATGTTACAATAAATGTTGCCCTCATTCCCTTTTTTGCACAAGTATTGTTCATACTGGAATCTCTTATACTTTATTCAGTACCTAAGTGGATTCTGAACACGCAAACATATTAAACACATTAAACATATACACATATCAAAATTTTTGTTCATGTCCTGTCAAAGTTTGCTTTAAAACCACAAAGCCAGACCTGGAGAGAGATAGACTGTGTAGATATGAGAAAATTAAAAATGCTAACAAGAATAATGAAGACATGAAATATTCAGAGGCTTCCTCAACATTACATTATGTTAAATTATAAAAACACACATAACTTGCAGCTGAAAACTGATTTCTGGGTAATGCAAACATCATGTTTAGCATGTGCACAGATCAGGAGACAGGATCCATTCACTTTTACATCCAAAACTGAACTTAAGCAAGATAAAGTTATCAGACAAGTAGAATGATTAAAGCTATGAAACCATTTTCTTGTGCAAATTGTCATAAAGAACAATCATTTGCATGGGAAGTAATTTGCGTGAGGAAACCAGACAAGGGGTTAAAGTCTCCTATTTAAATGTATGAATAAATTCACAGGAGAACAAAAACAGGAGGACTCCAGCTTAGTTCCTGAACTTCAGTCTGTTCAGACCCAGCATCATATTATTCAGTTTGCTGGCATTCTCCAGATTAGGAGAATCTGGAGGGATAGCAATTACCATAATCCCCAGCCAGCATCATCTTTGCTGACTTCTGCTCTATTGGAAGGATCCCAACCAAGGCTGATCTCTTCAGCACAATGCTGTTGATCTGATCTCACCAACAGATTCTGGGCTGCTTCTTCAGTATTCCCTTCATTCTGAAGCTGGGGGGATGTGTAAACCATTTTGTTAAAGACCCTAGACCAGTGGTTCTCAACCTTTTTAATGCCGTGACCCCCAACTGGTCGTAAGTCAAGGACTACTCAACCGGTCGTAAGTCGAGGACTACTCAATTGGTGCAGCACCGTTTGCAGAATGGGACTTTGGGCGGGCTCAGCAGGGCAGAGACAGCCTGGACAATTCCTATTGGCTTTTGAAAGCCAATAGAATTAGACTCTATTCAAGAGAGTCTATTCTATTGGCTTTCAAAAGCCAATAGAATAAAAGGGAGTAGCACAGCTAAGGAAAAGGGGGAAAAAATGGTGGACTGCATTGTTTGGTGACCTCCGTGAAATGGTCATTCAACCCCAAATGGGGTCCCGATCCACAGGTTGAGAACCACTGCCCTAGATTAAAGTCTGTTGTGCTCCACAGATCAAGTCATCATTTGTGATGCTGTGAAAAATTAACAGAATAACAAAATAACAGGGTGGAAAGGACCTTGGAGGTCTTCCAGTTCAAATCCTGTTCAACTCCCTTTACCATTTGGGACAAATGGCTGTCCAATCTCTTCTGGAAAACCTCCAGTATTGGATCACCCACAACTTCTGGAAGGAAGCTGTTCCACTGATTAATTGTTCCCACTGTCAGAAAGTTCTCCTTACTTCTAAGTTGATTCTCTCCTTGATTAGTTTCCATCTGTTATTTCTTATCGTGCTCTCAGGGCTTTGGAGAATAGGTTGCCCCCCCCCCTTCTCTGTGACAGCCTCTCAAACATTGGATTACTGCCATCAAGTCACCCCTGTTCCTTCTCTTTGTTAGATTAGACATACCCAGTTCCTGCAATCATTCATTATGTTTTAGACTCCAGCCCCCTAATCATCTTTGCTGCTCTTCTCTGCACTCTTTCTAGAGTCTCAAGATTGTTGGGGGGTTTTGGGTGGTGTCTAGAACTGGATTCAGTATTCCAAGTATGGTCTTACCAAGATAGAAAAACACCACACTTGAAATCCTGCATCCAGTTGGCATCCTCAAACATACGGAATGTGCAGATTCTGTGTAGTTTATAGCCAGTTATGTAACTTTCAAGAAATCATGAGCAAATACAATGGTTGCTATACACATAGATATGAGTAACTGTATTGCTCACAGTAGGTTTAATAGACCTACTGGTCAATCAATCAACATCTTCAATATCAACAAAAAAACTTGCATTTCTTATTTTAGGAGCACCCCAAAACGCAGTCCTACCCATGAAAATTGGTCCTTCTTCACCCATTACAATGCATCCTTTCCCCCAAGAAGTCAATTCACACATTCAGTAATCAAGTGAGGAAGAAACCGCTTCTTTCCTTTTGTATCACAGGAAAAGAGGTGTGGGGGGGGGGGTAGGGAACTTACCATAGCTCTTAAAGAAATAAATAAATAACTGTATTGGGAATGTATAAGCAAACCCAGAAGGATCACCCATAGTTGGGGCTGAGTGCCAGCCACCATTAAACAATCATGAGGTCATTTAAATTTCTCCATCACTTAAATATTCTCAGTTTTGCAAAGTGCATAAAAAGCTATTAGCCTAGAAGGATTGTTACTAATCTGCCTGGTTATATACTCCCCATTAGCGACTGATAGTACCAAAAACAGGGAGAAGCAGGCTTCTTGCTACAGGCAGCCCTCAGTACTAATTCTATGGAAATCTGGGTTCGGTTCCTACCTCAGTCTCGGAGTTTTCAGGGCAATCTTGAGCCAACATCAATTTTCCTTATCCCCTCAACAAGAAATAAAAATAGGCAAAGTTATTGCGTTTATACTATCTTGAGCAGCTGAAAGAAAGATAGGATCAGCTAAATCAAATAAACCATAAGTTAGATGCTTTATTCTTTTTTTTTTTTTTTACTGCTGTTGGACTCTTCTGAAACAGGGATGAAAAATAAGGAGAGAATTAGTTGCCAATAACTACTCATCTTCCATGCACATTTAATAAATGTATACAGTTATTTTTTTCTAGAGTGTATCCCACATCTGTCCTCATTTTATCATCCCAACCATCCTGTGAAGTACATTAATCGTGCATAATTGGCCCAGTGAAGTTAATAGCCTGCATGGGAATTTAATCTCATGTTCCTGTCTGGCCGACTAATCATTACATTGACCTGGGAAGGGGGGTACATGCTGGTGGCAGAGTCATGTGGTCACAATGCCTGCTCTGTTCCTTTTGCGTATGCATTTTGATAACAATCGGACACTCAAAGGTAGTGGGAGTTTGTAAAGTGACAACTTGACACAGCGTTCGTCAATCTGATAAAAGCTATTGATCCCAAGGATGTCACTAATTAGTTTCCTTTCCAGCTTTGTGATTCCAAACAGCATAATAAACCCGCAAACATGTATAAAGGAACACAATCAATAGTTTGGTCAGTACTTCTTGTTTTTAATTCTTTCTTGGGTACCCCCAAATGTTTTACTCAAGATAAAAGGCATCCTGTTTGCTAAGCATTTGCAAAATGTAAAAAAAAAGGGGGGGAGAATGAGAGAGGGATAGAAAATAGGGTCCTTATGAAAATGTCCATGTAATTATCTCTTAGATTTAGTTCCATGTGAGTCAATATTATTCCTCCCATTAACTCTGACCTGCCAGGTTAAACCAATTCGGGCTCTTCATGCTGAAATCTTTTCATGTGCAGCTCTAAAAATACCTCAACTCCTACCCAGGCCAGTATTTCAGTGTGTAATAAAAACTGGCTGTCTAAATAAACAGGGTGGGATGCAAACAGGGTTAGAAAAGGGGAAAGAACAAGAAATAATGAGTGTCGTCTTTCAGGATTGCAAAAAGTACAGCCAGGATCCAGAGTGGATCAGCAAAATAAATGGTGTATTGGGTGGACATTTGGAAACACTTTGGGGAGGTTTGACTCAAAATGGAGGCTTTAAAACCTACACATTAGGAGGCTCTTTTCAACTCTTGAGACTCTTCCGCAAACAGTCCTGGCTTAACCGAATATGGAATGTGGCCTAGAAAATGCCACATAAACCTGGCACCTGTGATGCACACCAGCAAGGCCTTTCCTTTCCTCTTTTGCTCTGCAAAGGACCTTCAGACGGAGCTTTTTCCTCTTCCAGCCCAGAGTTGCTTGCCTCAACTTCCCCAGGGGTTAAGAAATTACTTCTTAGTTTTGCAACATGGAGCAAGGAGCATGCATTTTGTTCTACTACCCTATTCCTCCACACCTGGTTGACCTTTCAGCTATTTACATGTGTGTTTGGTGGTTTTTTTTTTTAATGGATGCTTTTTATCCTCCCTGTATAAATGATTCAAAGGGGTGGACATACCTAATGCTCCTTCGTTCTCCTGTTTCCTCCAAAATAACCCTTTGAGGTGGGTTAGGCTGAGAGAGAACGACTGGCCCAAAGTCACCCAGTTGGCTGTCCTGATTAAGGAAGGACTAGAATTTACCATCTCCTGGGGATTGGTCTAAAGTCCCCCAGCCGGCTTTTTCCCCCTAAGGCAGGACTAGAACTAACACCCTTCTGGTTTCTAAGCCAGCCCTTCTCACCACTACAACAAGCTGGCTCTCGACTGCAGCACCATCTCTATCCAGGCCTAAAACACGGAATCATCTTTTACGTGTTCAGAAACACTGGCCTTCTCTCATCCCCCCCCCCCTACGCCTCCTTCCCACGCCACCCCAACCCCCACTTCTCGCCTGTACTTTCACTTTCATCCAGGCCAGTTTGGGACGGGGTCGCGCATAGCCGGGCGCTGCCTTTAGGAGAGACAGAGCGGGCGAGAGGGTGTCAGCACCAAGGACAGCGCTCAGGGTTTTAAAAATAAAAGAATAGACGTGCCAGCGACTCACTCTGCCCGCATCATTCTTGAAATATCGCTGAAACTGGACATGTGCCTGTTGAAGACATTTGTGGGTCTGTTTATTTTTAGTGTTGACAAATCCTCTTTGGATCCTGCAGTGTTTATACGGCTAGAAGCCCTGTCTTTTCGGGAGTTACTCATCAATCTTGCAGGGAATCAAATTGGATCCTTCAAGCCTTTTTAAAAACTCGGCTCGAGGGGGGGGGGGGAAACGGGAGGGGAGGAAGGGTTAAAAAGAAAGCATGAAAAGGCTTAGGCCAAAGTGTTCTGGGTTTCTTTCATTAGACACTTCTGCTCAAATCATTAAGGGGTGGGGGAGGGAAGGAGATTCTAAACCTGTTGCTCAGGTTTAACAAAAGGTCAGTGGCTTGTTCCCCAGTAGCTCCATCTTCAAGAAAATTAAAAAGAATCGGAACTCTTGTTTGCTTTCATCACGATGCTTCGAGCACTCCGATAGGCTTACGGTGCGGAAGGGAAAGGCTCTCCTCTATCCACATTCACCCCAAAATGGTGATTTGGATTTTTATGGCAAATTATTTTGGAGGAGACTAACCTTAACCAGCCTGGATCTTATGACAGAATTCTAGATTCTGAATAACAGTCTTTAGAAAAGGAGCAATATATGAATTAAACATTCTTTTGTGGAGGCTGCCCAGAAAGCCTACGAGGAAAAGGTCAGGGATCATTCATTTTTTTTTCCAAAAGTCGTCGATTAAAAAACAAATTTAAAATCCCCCCCCCTTCCCTCTCTTCTCGTGGCAGGTAGCTTCGTCTTTAGAATCCGCTCGACCGACGGGCGAGCGATTCAAACTTGGCCGTCTTGCCAGCCCTAAATTTCTTGTCGGGCTTGGAGATCTGGCGGAGAAAGATCGACCGTGTTCCCTTTTCCCGCAGGTTACCCACGCTTGAACGCTGGTCTTCAATCAGCCCTAGAGGCTTCTTTCCCTCTGGGCAAATCAGAAAATTCAGTGGCGCGTTTCCCTCGGAGAGAAGCGGCCAGATTACGAGGCATTAACTTGCCAAACTTTTGAACCGGCCGGGAGACGATCGGAGAACGCGACGGCTAAGCCCGCTACCTGGGTCTTCCCCGCTCTCCAGGAACAACCCGCTGCCCCCTCCGGGAAGGTTTCCCCTGCTGAGAACAAGCCCCGCGCTTACCGCTTTTCTCCGCTCCCGGACTTCCAGTGGGGTGGGCGACTTTCGCCAATCCGGGCCAATAGTTCCACAGCGCGCTAAGCAGTGTGTCCGCTCACCGCCGCGCCTCTGGCCCTCGGCATGCTGGACGGCGGGTTGCTCTCCCTGGTGGGATGCCGAGAGACCAACCGGCTGGCCGTCGGACCGTCTGGCTGCTGGCTCGCCGGCTGGGTCCAAAAAGGGAAGAGAGAGGCGGGGAACTCCTCACGCACCGCCTCCTCCGCGCCGCGCTCTTTCTGCGCCCTGCCCGCCTGCCCGCCCGCCCGCCTGCCGCCCCTTCGCAGGGCGCCCCGAGCGCTCCGCCGGCGCTGCAGCTGGGAGGCAGCGGCCTCTGGCGGCCTCTTGCCGCTGGCGCCCGCTTGGCCTCTTTCTTTGCCACCCCCCACCCTCCCCAACCTCACCCCCCGCCCCACCCCAGGCTCGCCTGCCTGCCTGGCAGGGAGGAGACGAGGGGAGCAATGCGCGCCTGGAAAAACTTTGGAAGCGCCGGAGAGCTGGCCGCACGCGCGCGAAGTAAGGGGGAATCCCCACCCTCGAACAAAACTGGACAGCGGGATCGAGCCCGATCCTTGAAGGGGACACAGGTTGGGGCTGTCGTCAACTCGGCAGCTGGACCCGGGAGTCGCCGTGCTTGGTCGCCTCTGCCTTTAAGAGAAACCTCCCCCACACACACACACACACCCCACCCCTTCCGCGGCTTCTTTACAGCTCGGAAATCCGGGTGAGAGCCGGGGTGACTGTTGTAGTTCCGATCGGTCTTATTGGGATTTAAATGCGCCAGTTCGGTGGCCTGCTGAATAAGGAAGGTCAGCCAGTCCTGACCTTCTTCTGGATGGCAGCCTTTCAGTTGCAGGCAATCCTTGACTTGCAACCTTGTGTTTAGCAACTGTTCCAAGTTACAATGACTTAGGACCCAACTCACAAAAGTCGCTACATTCCCACGGTCACATGAACAAAATTCCAGGACTGGTAATCAGCACGACAGCTGCCGCTTTCTGGGGCCTGTCATTGCCACTTGTGACCCTCCCAGCTGGCTTCTAACAAGCAGAATCAATGGGGGGGGGGGAAACTAGATTCACTTACTAACTGCATTGATTTGCTTAGCAACCCTGCCCCCAAAAAAGGTTGTAAAGTCAGGCACAATTCACTTAACACCCACCTTGCTTAGGAACGGAAATTCTGGTCCCAATTGCAGTCGTAAATCAAGGACTGACTGTCCTTGAATAGGAGTCTCTTCTCTCCCCACCCCCCATCCCAAAAAGGCATTCCCAATTCCTTGCTTTTTTTTCCTGGATAAAATTATTGTCTAAGTTCCCTGAATTTCCTGATTAACCTTCTCTGCACCTGGCCCAGTTTTCTGATTTATTCTCAGGATAATTCTGAGCAAAGGAGTCCACAGGTCTTATCAAACAAGAATGAAGTGTGTTGGTGTGGGGGGTGGGGGGGTCTTTGTTTTATTTCTTGCACCCACATGCTTTCTACATGGTAGTCAAATTCATTGATATTGATAAGCATATTTTGTCTGAGTCTGGTAAAGATAAGCAGTCTCAGTCCGAGTTAATACTTGAACAGCAAAAAATCACAAGAAATGCACCTGTAGTTTGGTCTAGTTGTTAAGATTAGAAGTTGCTGCTAATGACCAGAGACTGCAG